GGAGAAGGGGGTTCCGGAGTGGAGCCCATCAGCTCTCATGGGCCCAGGAGCCCTGCGGATTCATCATCCCTTGCAGGTTCTGCCTGCCCACCCAGCCCCCACAGAGGCGGGAATGAGAAGAAGGGCCCGCGGAGGACCCCCCGCAGATGGCCGCGCGTGTTGGCTGGACCCTCTCTGGACTCAGTACATTTGAGGGATGACCTCCAGGCATGAGCCGCCTCCTGGGGGAACCGGGAGGGAAGAGGGATGTGTTCTTGAACCCCCCAGCCCACTCCCAGACTCTCAGCTCTGCTTCTGATGGCAAGACTTGCCCCTCCCCTTATGCTTCCCCCTGGGCCCACCTGCCTGTGGGAGAGCCTCCCTGGGGAGAGTGGGGGCACAGCCCTCTCATGGGAGACCAGTAGGACACGTGCTCCTGAGGGGGGGCAGAGGGGGATGCTGCCCACTCAGCCAGCCCCTACCATCTGCCCACCCGCCTTCAGGCCCTCCACCCTGGCCCTCAGGTGCCTGAGTGCCCTACACACACACACACACACACACACACACACACATATACACACTCACACACACACACTGCATCCCTGCTCCATCAAGGAGTAGGCAGGGACTGCCCCTCCCCTCCCTAGCAGCCTGGTTCCTTGGGAACCCAGTTGTCACCCAGTGAGCACTGGACCACAGCCAGCCATGCAGAGCTGGGAGTGGCAGGGCTGGTTCCTTTTTTTTTCTCCAGCTCCTTGGGTCACAGGAAGGCCAAGCGACCAGTCTGAACCCCCTGGGGGCCAGGGGAGAGGCCGGGCCCTGTCCCAAGGGTCTCAGGTGCTTCCTCTTATGCACCAATCCCCAGAATCCCTGGCCCCCTTCACCCTCCCCAACCAACCACAGTCACTTTTTCAGCAGAGATCTCATGGCCAGTATTGACATGTTGGATATTATTAGCCCATTTTACAGAGGAGGAAAATCAAGGCACAGAGAAAGTTAGAGAGAGGCCTCGGGTCAGAGACAGAAGTGGGAGACAGGAAGCATTCACCCCACACCCCACCCCTAGGATATGTAACCAACAGAGCAGTAATAATCTGCATCGTCCTCGGGCTGCACGGGGCTGATGATCAAGATGCAGGCATTTTGGGCCGCGTCTGTGGTTGCTGAGAAGCGGTCCGGGATGTCGGGGGACCGGTGGTGATCCTCCTTGGAGCGGTAGTAGAGGAGGTAGCGGGGGGCGCTTCCCGCCCGCTGCTGGTACCAGGACACGCCGTAGTCCCCGATGTTGGCGTGGCGGGGGTTGAGCATGCAGGAGATTTGGACCGCTTGGCCTGGGAACACCAGCAGTGCATCTGGCTGGGTCAGTACTGGCTGGGAGACTGAAAGGGACAGACCTGCTCAGGCCTGGCCTGGGCCCCTGTGCTCCCACTTCTGCCTTATGAAGACGTAGTCAGACTCCCAAACCAGACAACTCCTGTTCCTAGAGGGCTCGTGGCCTGGTGCCATGGGATGGGCACAGGATGGGGTACTGAGTTGGTGACTCCTAAAGGCCCATCAGTGCCATGTTCCCGAGGATCTGTGTTCAGTTGCAGGCCTAAAGTTTAAACGGTGGGACCGGTGGCCTCTATTGCTCACTCCCACCCCTTGCCCTGAAGACCCCTATCCCCTCAGTCACACTGGCTCTTCCAAACCCTGGTTGCAGACTAACCACCGCCAGGAAGCTCTGGGCTGTACCACCCATCAGCTCAGCCTCAGGCAACTGGGTGCTGAGGCCCTTCTTGGAGTTAGGTTGTTCCCGAGGCCTGTGAGGTAGGGATCAGCCCACACCAGCTTCTCCTGTGAAAAACTCAAAAGGTCACCAGCTCCAGCCCCTTCTCAGACCCTAAAGCAGTGGTCGGCAAACTGCGGCTCGGCAAACTACGGCTCACGAGCCACATGCGGCTCTTTAGCCCCTTGAGTGTGGCTCTTCCACAAAATACCGACTTCTGCGCATGGGCCACAAAGTTTCAATCGCACTGTATGTGCACGCCCGCACGTGGTATTTTGTGGAAGAGCCGTACTCAAGGGCCAAAGAGCTGCATGTGGCTCGCGAGCCGCAGTTTGCCGACCAGGGCCCTAAAGAGTCAACGTTCAAAGGGACTCTGGTGGTCTGGTCAATCAGAAATGGAGAAACTGAGGCCCACCCAGAGGAGTGACTTGCCCCAGGTCCAGGGCACAGCCGTCCCCTCTGCAGCCAGTTCTCCCCTTCACCTCAGTGCCCCTTCCGGAACCTCCCGCTGCTCATCTCAATTTGCTTCTTTGCAGGGAGGGGCCTTCTGGAGCCAGTACTGTCCCCCACCCCCCCCACCCCCAGGTGAGCCAGGCCCAGGGAGAGCTCACCTGCCAGGAGGGCTCCAATCAAGAGGAGGGCCAGGCGCCACCAGGCCATGGCCAGCAGCAGCAAGGCAGGCGGGAGCTGTTCTGTGTGGGGTGCCCCAGGTGCTTCAGGGCACGGGCCGGGGAGGCTACTGGACCACAACAGGGCATGCAAATCAGCCCAGTGATTGGTGGGGGAGGCAGGGGCTGGGGCCCACTGCCAGGCCCCATCTCCCCAAACGTGAGAGTCCT